GGCCAGCCCGATTTCGAAACAATTGACGGGTGTCGTCAATTGTTTCACTTCAAATCGTCTAGTTTAACTTGAGCGTTGCTATAATGAACTAAAATTGAATAATTATATATTTAATATTTAATTACCGATGAAATGTGATTCCGTTCCCACACCACCGAATGGAACACTCCCCATTAGAGATATCATCTTTATTACAATAAATACAGAATATTTTTGGAATATACGGAGACGTACACACAGGTTTTAACTTGTGATTTCAGCGCAAAAGAGAGTTGATATTTAAAAGTGATACCTATAAGGCCCATTTGCCAATGATTTGCCAGATTTGGATGGCCCTTATTTCGTCTGTATTTCTGGTTATATACTCGATGGATATATTGGACAGTGTTGATATTACATATAAAGTAGAAAATTGAATCGAATACCGAGCCCTGAAACGCCGTAATCACGATACCGGCAGCATTTTCCTTTTGAATAGCAAAATTTATTCTTTGACAGAAGTTGTACCCTAGCTTGTGTTTCGGAGCGCAGTATACTGTCCCGTACGCGGTCTGACAGTTTTACTACCAAATATATATGTCGTGAACACTAACTGTACAAACAGGTCTTGTCAAATCCAGATTCGCCAGATGATAGACCCGCATTCTTGAATCAAAACTTGAAAACCACACCACGTTAGTGGTGATAACTCGTAATTCATTTGTTCATTGCAATCATGTATTTAGATTTTTTTTTCAAATTTGGAGTTTTTTCAACATATACATGAACCCTTGTACGGGTAGGATACCGCAGCACATTATTATAAAATGTTCTAATAAAAAAAATCTAATATAAAATTCAACAAACAAGCTCAAACGAAAACTCAACATTCCCTTTATTATACTAAATTAATTATAATTATATTTTATGCATTTATATTTTTAGTCAATTTGTTGTTGTCCTTTGTTTATTATTAAAATATATCAAACTATTTTGTAAACTCCTGGAACGGATAAAAGCTTTTTAATAGTACAAAAAAATATTTTATGTGCAATACAATACAATACAAAAATTCTTTATTGTATACCAAAATGGATACAAATACAATACAATAATTAAAATAAAAAGAAATAAGTGGCGGTACAGTCAAGACCACGTCATGCTTGACACTTTGTACTTTGGACCGTTCTTATCGTAGGCGGCATAGAATTGGATTTTAATCTGAAGTGTCAAGCTTGATGTGCTCATAACCCTGTACAATGGGTAGCCTTATCGCTTCAAGCGATTTCAGCCAGACAACCTTTCGATGGAAGTAATTATAATTCATAGGAAAAAGACGGCGGTGTATGTAATGCACGTTTAAATTTTTCTATATTGTTTTCGGACTTATGTTCGGGTATTCCATTATAAGCATAGACAAAATATACAAATATCTAAAATTGACGCTGCAAGTGTACCTACTTCGCGTGCCCAATGTAAGTGAAGAACACTTAATTGCCGTTGCTACGTGTAGTTATTTTTTATTATTTATTATTATATTTTTTCATTCGTAATAGCGCCAAAGTTCCAGAACACTGCCCTTACCATCTCAAAGAGCACTGGGACACTTGGAGTCGACATCACGAGCGAAGTCCAGTTCCGGAGTCATTTGCAGAGCAACGCCAAACTGGCTTCAAAAAAGCTCGGAGTGCTCAATAGAGCGAAGCAGTACTACTCTCCAGTTCACCGACTTTTGTTATATAAAACACAAGTACGGCCCCATATGGAATATTGCTCGCATCTCTGGGCAGGAGCTCCCAAATACCAGCTTGATCCACTTGACTCTATCCAACGTAGGCCTGTTCGTATTATCGATGATCCCAAACTCACAAATGGTATGGAGCCCCTTAGCTTACGGAGAGACGTTGGCTCTCTGTGTGTGTTCTACCGTCTTTATAATGGGGAGTGCTCTGAGGAACTTTTCGAACTGGTGCCACCGTCTCGTTTCAACCATCGCACCTCCCGCCAAAGGAGTAGAGTCCATCCCCACATCTTAGATGACTGGCATTGTAAGACCACACGGGCATCTCGTTCGTTTCTTCCTCGAACCTGCAATGTGTGGAATGATCTTCCTCCTGAAGTGTTCCCTTTGCACTACGACATGGGGTTCTTCAAAAAGCGTGTTTACAGGGCTCTCAAAGGCTGGCAACGCATAGGCAGCTCATCTGATGTTGCAAATGTCCGTGGGCGACGATGACCACCTCCCTCCAACTGGCTCGTTGGCTCGTTTGCCTACTTCTTTACATACAAAAAAAAGTTAGCGAAAAATGAATAATTGTGTCGTCAGAAATTGCAAAAACACCACAGCTGTGAAAAATGCATAAGCTATATTAATATTTTGTAATCAGAATATGAATAATTTATTTTAAAAATAATTATTTCCATTTTTAATAAATTTCGAGAAAACAAATATGCAAACGAGTGTGTGCCGCTTGATTCGTAATACATTGCGGCTTTTACTTGGTGCGGGTAGTCCCGCGTCCCGTAGGTTACGTGCGGGACACTTGTAGTTCTTCTTCAGTAGGCGAAGTAATATCAAACGAGCCATATTTTATTGTTTCTTATTAGGTACAGCCGTTTCGTTGCGTCTTTGATCAAATTTTACGTTTAGTGATGTTCACTTGATGCAACACAATTGTCGATTCTGATCGATTTAGGAAACAAATGGATAATAATTCTTAAGTCTTTAGAAAATTTTATAAAAATAGTCTAGGTTTTTTTTAGTTTTACCGGAGTAACTTTTATTTTCAAAATACGAATTAATAAAGGACTTAATTAACTTATTCTCCTATCAGGAAATGAAACTATTTTTCCGGATTAAAATCGCGTACAATTGTTTTACCAAACAAACCTAAGAAAACCTAAGAACTCGATATTATTCTGTTATTATTGTACTATATTACCTAATATTTCACAGCTTCTTTAGCGAAGTTTTCGTGCCGATCCACACTGCGCGGCCGACTGTGGTAGCCGTCCAGTACCACGCTTTCACGTACATTAATCGCAAATCTCAGGGCTCGTTTATTCGACACGAATTACATCGCGCTCACGCCGCGTGGAGATCGCGTGGCCGCCGCACAGCGACCGCGTGCACGTGTTCAGAGACCGAGCTGTCATGGCAGAATACGATCTATTAGTTTAGTGTTTTTTGCGTTTTAATTTAAATGAGAAAACTCTGATGTCGATGGAAGCTGGCGTGTCTTTGTAGTAAATAGAATTCAGATTCGATTCGCCATTAATGTACATGAAAGCTAACTGGGTTACCGCACGAAAACTGTCGCGTCGTGTAACTGGGCGCCAAGGTTCAAGTTACACTGAAAGAGCAAAGGCGTGAAACGGCCGGAAGAGCTAGTATGTTGCCTCTTTGATCTAGTCGTTACAAGACTCGTGCGACTTCACGGCTGAGTTTGAATTTTTTTAGAAGATTCAAATTTGTAACACTTTGCACCAAAAATATCTCGCTCGCGGCTCTTTCAGTGTGATATAACCCTTAAACTTATTTACGTGCGTAAACACCCACTTGCATAATAATCTACAAATAACTGATTTAATATTCTACACTTCTAAATCCGCCCCCTATAGCCACCCAGAATAAGCTCTGCTGTATACGCAGTCCGTAGAATACTGCTAGACTAGTTTACTTTAGTTACTTCCATAAAGCCCTACGGGATTCTCATGTGGGATAAAGTGGCTGATGTACAAACCATATTTGTGTTGCAAAAACGACCGATTCGTTCCATATACCATTTAGGTTGTGGGGTTTCTCTCAGAGAAAAGTTTAGAAAGACTGGTATCATGATTGTGGCATCGCAGTACATTTACTTAAATATTTTGTATGCCCGTAAAATATACATAATTACATAATATTAACCTTAAAACCATTGACTTACAATTATATGGACGTCGGGTCCGCGCTGAAAAGTGTCCGAACTTATAGGGCGTTAAAATCGTATACAGAGCGTCATTCACGCTTTAGTCTTCATTTGTTCGACTGACAGCGAAGCAAGCAAAATTAGACAGTACTGCGATGACATTACAATTTAAATTCAACGTTTTAGCTTTTTCATATTCCTTTACATGTCACTACGTTTAAATAGGTTCACTTGGGACATTTTTTTCGTGGTTTGTGTATTAGACCCGTCGTCCATTTATTTGTAAGTCAATGCTTAAAACTAAATCCAAACCCATGATACCACGATTTTGTTTAACTAAGGTAAACGATTATTTCATGAAGAACTGTATACGTTTTTACGATAGAAATTATCATTTCCTAAATTTAAAACTTACATTAAAAGTATTTTAATTGAAAAGTCATATTACAAAATTAAACAGTATTTGTTAGATAAGATGTATGAAAAGATAACATGAGTCTTGATTCCACACAATTATGATTCAAAGTGCATTTAAGTTTATTTGAAAAGAGCAACCCCTAGAGCTTCTTGCTCGTTCTTCTCAGGAAGGTCAGCGTAGTGAACGAGCAAGAACTAGCTTAAAAAAGACGTTTTCAAGTGTGAAAATGTTACCTATGGAACAAGTGATTATTTGACTTTGATCCCCGGTAGAAAACAGTACTGTAAATTCTTTCTATTTTCCAGCCCCAACGAATTCACTTGCGACGACAATGCCTGCGTCAGCGTAGACCATGTTTGTGATGGAAAAGCAGACTGTGCCGATGAAAGCGACGAAGCAGCATGCCTTGGTTCTTCGTGAGTATATTTTATTTTTATATATTTCGAGCCATTACTGTCGACTTTGCCGAGAGGGTTTTAAAAAAAATATTTCTACTAATAAATGTCATACTAAATTGTGATACGAAGTTTTGGAAAGGGTCGGGGAGGAGAGAAGTCTTTTGAATGTAATAGAAAGGAGAAAGGGTTGCAGTGCACAAACGCATTAATAATCTCAGTACAGAGTACTAAAAAAACCGACCTCAAAAGTACGTGGAATTACGTCTATTTGCTAAGTTTCATTGAAATATCCCCTAGTTCGCCACTATACAGGACTTGATACTGGAGATAATAAAAATAGGTTCTCACTACGACACTACTCAAAGTATATCGAGGGAAAAACGCCTTGAATTGGAGAAATAGCAAAATCAACTAAATAAGTGCTAAAAGTAATTGCTCCTAAATTTAAGGTAGGCGCTATTTATAAAAATGAATCTTCATGCGTGAAAAGCCACCCTTAGAGGTGGATGATTTCCTTCAAAATGAAATGGGATCACTATGGAAGTACCCCCTTTCCAACAAAAAAAGAATCATGAAAATCGGTTCACAAATACCGTAGTTATCGCGTAACATACATACAAAAAAAAAAGAAAAAGAAAAGAACATACAGTCGAATTGAGAACATCCTCCTTTTTTGAAGTCGGTTAAAAACGAGAGAGAGTGGCCGTCTCCTCACGCTCCTACTGGTAGGACCAAAAGGATAAATATATCCTCGTGCTCCTACTAATGTACTGTCACCTATATTTATATGTAATTTATATTGCAGTACTTGTATAAGTTAGTTATCTGATTACAATTAAGCGATTTAAAAAAATGCGAATACTTTCAGACATAGAAACTGCGAGCCTGATTTGCCATATTTGTCTTGTGGTCGATGCGTCAAGTCCCTGTAACGGCATGTAGCTATGATTTACATTTATAAATATCACACATTTGTACTTACTTTTCGTACATAAACCCTCGTCGAAGAAGATTATAAAATGTATTAGGTCTGACTGTGACTTAAACCTTGTGTTTGGAGGAGACCTGTGCTCAGCAGTGAGTAGTGGGTTGAACTTATTGTTGGTACTAAAAGTAACTACTGGTTTTTGCAGACACAATCGACCTTTCGAAGAGCCAATTCTGACCAGATCAAAAAGACAGTCAACGTGTTCGTAAGTACTATTATTTATTAACTAGTAATATATTATTATTAATACAAAGATCGAACACTTAGGATTCGAACCGATGTCTCTTAGCAAATCGTGTCAGGCGCTATGCCAACTAAGCCACGGAACGAACCTGCGGACCTCACGAATTTTTCCTTCGTTCCCACTAGTTCTATAATATTATATGTATAAAATATATATATTCTTCAACCGTATATTAAGGATAAAACAATTTTCGAGTTAAAAATAGAATAAAGTCAATATAACTAGTGGGAAATTATTTTTCCCACTAGTTCTATTATTCTAGCAATATAACTTAATAGAACCAATGGGAAGAAAAAGACCCACTAGTTCTATAATAGAACTACTCAATAGAACTAGTGGGAACGAAGGCAATTTTTCTATGTGCTTGTTGTCGCATCTTTGTATTTGGTTTTCAAGGACTTTTTAGCCATAGCGCCATCTATGAGAAATCTATAAAAGTATTTCGTCACCCAGTTAGGTACATTTACAGCCACCGGCCCTGGCTAGAGATGTCGGTATTAACAGCAATTATTTTTTTATTTTATTCGTATTCAATTATTTTTTATGTGTTTGTTGTCGTGTAATATATAACTTGTAAATGTAGCAGTAGAGCTCCTTGTGAAAGAGTTCGTCTAGGGAAGAACTCCCACCTTACCTATTTCTGCCGCCAAGCAGTAACGTAAGCATTACTGCGTTCCGGTTTTGATGGGTAAGGGTGCTGGTGGAAATACAGGCACGTGGGACTTGTCAACTTATGTCTCAAGGTGACTGGCGCAGTGGCAGTGGCTGTCTTTCACAAAAAACTAAACGTACTGCAATGAAATCAAATGGCTTCACATTCGTCTCAGCAGGAAATTGCATGCTGTGTCTCCCGGGGATCTGAAAGAGCGTTTCAGCTTTCTCAGATCCCAAGATAAGTCCCGTCGCTCTCGTTAGGTCCCAGTTATCTTTTCCATCCTTTAATTCTGGTTTTTATTCTCGCTCCGTTACTGTTCATGCGGTTAGACTTTGGAATGTATTTCCTATTACCGTTCGTGATAGTATATCTTTTCAATTTTCAAAATGAGAGCTAAGGAGCACTTTTTACCGACTGTTCCATCAATTTTATAGGTATTATAGTATGTAATACGTATTTATTAAGTATTTATATAGCTCTAATAATTTAATGTTTTGATAATATTTTTTTATTATATTTTTTTTTGTTGTGCACGTAAACCCATTTGTAATTATCGTCTCCTGCATTTCGGTCTGCAGGAAGAAATTTCTGTCAGAAAAGTGTTTTAGCTTGTTACTAAATGTGTTTTTGTTTTTACTTTTCTGTACAATAAATAATTAAATATTCTATTCTTCCTTTTATAATAATAACAATAACGTACATACTCAACATAGCCTCGCACTAGGGAAACCCTGTGTCGCGGGTACCATAGACACAGACATAGACAACCACAAATTACACCCAAACTCACGAGAGAATATAAATGTAGGCCATACAAATGTTCCTCCCGGCCCGAGAATCGAACCTGGCACCTCAGCGTGGCAGTCCGGCAATGGTAACCGTTCGGCCACAGAGGCAGTTAAATTAAAGTAAATAAAGTAATTATTGTCTCCTGTATTTAGGTCTGCAGGAAGAAATTTCTATTAGAAGTAAGCAGTACCTTTTGTTTATGTTTTCCTTGTTACTAAATGTGCGTTTTTTTTTCTGTACAGTAAATAATTAAATATTCTATTCTTCCTTTTAGATACACTGTATTGTTAGCCCCAATAACGAAGACAAGCCTTGGTTTTGACCTTAAAACAATCACCATTGCTTTTCCATGAACTTTGGAAACAATGAAGTTCTTCCTATTACTAATCTAACTAACCAATAGTTATAGAGAGTTTACAGTTTAACAATTACAGATTTATTAGCATAAATAAGTTAAATTACGAGTAACTACACAGGATTATATTGTAAAGGGTATTGACGTGAACATGTTATCAGTCGTAACATTCCTATTTGTGCCATGAGTATTGCGCGTCAACTCCATCACAAAATATTCACCCAAAGACAAACCTTCGGTATTTGTGCTTTTTCCAAGGTATGGTATGGCATCTATCATGTAGTACGGCACGTTCCACTGTCACACATCAATACAATTTTGATGCCATTTTTTGCGGGCTTATTCGGTATGTGCATTCTCAATTTACACCTGTCACGAAACCCCAGCAATTGTTGATCTATTGTTACATTCGTCACTGGAATGTAATTATTGCGGCATTGTGCTATGAATAGATCACAAATTAATCTGATAGGCATGACAGGACCGTTCTGTGATCGTTGCAGACGTAGATTTTTGTCATCAAACCGCAAACTTCTTATTAGAAAGTCAAATCGTTCTCGACTCATAGCACAGCTACTAAAGGAGCATAGCTGCTATTTAAGTAGCAGCTACTTAAATAGTCCCACAAAAATTAGAATTGAAAATTTCGTTAGTTGTCAGATGGTTTATCCTTGAGTGCTGCAGCCAGAATGAGAACTCCTACTAACGCTCTTATCTCGAAAATATTTGTGTCTTTTTGAGTGGCCGTCACATTTTTATACATACAGCTCTCTTTATAGATATTTCTACATTGGTCCACTTGACAATCTCACCAAAAAATTCTTCTGTCAAAAATTTCTTCTCTGCATGAACGACTTGGGCCCATTACAGCTCGAACAATGTTCCTGGCTGAGGTTCGTGAGGAAGTTTGTCTCTTAGACGTAGTCCATACATGACTATTTTTTCCAAGGATATTACCTTGTAGTAGGTAGTTTAATAATCCGCGAAGATGCTGGCAGCGCTGGATTTGCAGTACTTGGGAGATCATGATGATTATCATCATTACTTTCTTGGTCTTTAGCGGCAGAAGGTTCGTAGTTTTCGTCGACGTGGAAATCAGCGTCTTCAACAAAATCTTCCGTCTCACTAGCTGATTCAGTCTCCGGGATTCCAAACATCTAGTTCTAGGTTTATGATAACTGATATTTTGTCTATATTTAATGTTCTCCTGGCATAAGACATGATGGTAATCTACCTATATAAACAAACAATAAAACATGTAATACATTACGGAAAAAAACTCACGTTAAAGCTAACCATCCGTCGAAACGACGGGCAAATTTAGCGTATTTCCAAAAGTACATTATTTACCAAATCGACGCGTGCGCCACTCGAAAGGCCCCGCCGGCGATTGAGTTGGCTAGGCGCGACAAACTATTCCGACGTACTGTTTGAAAGAGACAGCGATATTTCTTTGCTGTACTCGTAGAGGTTAGCATTCTAGGGTTAAATTAGAAATAATCATTATCAAGATTTCGTAGTTGGGTGCGTTTCGGAGAAAGCGGCTTCGATAGTAAGCGAGACTTAAAAACTCCCATTGTTTTTTTCTTCCGTTTATGAAACTCACTAATAAATACCTATAGTATTTAACCGGTTAACCAAGTGACAGCTGAAGTTTGTATACTTTTAGTTAATTACCTAAACCTATAAACCATAGTAACAACATCATGATATTACATCAAAACAAAATATGACAAGTTCAATATTTTATGTTTACAGAAAGCACCAATGGCAGTGCAGCAATGGCGAATGCGTGAGCTTCGACGCAAAGTGTGACGGCGTTCTGGACTGTACCGACGGAAGTGATGAGACGTTTGCACTCTGTAGGAAAACTAGGTAAAACGACAAGGCGTTTCCTATTTTTTTTAAATTTATCAATGAATATTTTATGCTATAACAATTGTAACAAAGTATAAATTTGAATAACCTTAGAGCGAACTCGGAGCATCGCGACGCATTTCTCTCTGCAGCATTGAAAAGTACGCCAGAGGTGACGACGGATAAGGACGCGTTCCTGTTACGTCATGACGACAGATAGGCTCAACTCAAACTGACGCGTCATGTTTTCATTCATTCATTTCATGTCATCTTCTGGGCGAGGTCGTTCCATCACCCTATATATATAGGCCCTTTCTTTGCTCCGGTACGTAGTCAAGAGCAAGTTTAACAAAAAAATCTGCTCTTTTCTTCGCAGATGTCAATCAAATTGGTTCCGGTGCACATACGGTGCATGTGTGGACGGAACAGCACCTTGCAACGGCCAGAAGGAGTGTGTTGACAATTCCGACGAGTTGTTGCCTCGGTGCCGGAATGAAACTGATGAAATTAGGTATGTGACCACCTTCATTATTCGTTTTAATGGCGGCTCTTCACATGGTTCCTAGTACTCACTATTGGGTGTTTGATGTACTAGGAAAACATTTGACGTACAGATATACTCGCAAACACTGACAAATATGACCGTCTACACATGGAGACCAATAAGAAGTTAAAATAATGTATAATTATCATATTGTGGACGGCTTAATTGCGTATTTGCCTATGTGGCTCTTTTGATGTGCGTCGAGAAACTGACCAGCGCACAGTAACACGAGTTTGGTGTTTGCTGTATTTGTCGTATAGGCAAACAAGGCAAATACTTTGTCACACATATTATCTACACGTGCCCCCGTGGTATGCCGCCTCGATGAAGCTATTATATCCATATTTAGTTCTCAAATTCGAGTGATAAACCGGCCGGCATTTTTAAATTTTATCACAATAGCTAACATGGCGAGCAACGCGACGTCACATTTTTATGACTTCGCGACGCCCCTCGCACTGTATTTTAAAACATTTTGACGGTTCTACGCTGTAATTTTATCAACGTAAAAATTTTGCGCGACAAACAAGATGAAAATAAATAATAAAAACAATGGTATGTATAAATCATTGGATAAAGGTGAGGAGAACATTTTTAGTATAGTTCAAGACATGAGAGTAATTAGAAATACGTAAATAATAACTAATATAACGTACAACATGTAAAAATATAAACTACAAAAACCCGTCATTTTTGCTTCGGCGGTTTGCGGTGATGATTAAACGACAAAGATAGCTATACACGCAATTTCATGTCGTTGTCCTTGTTCTTCAAAATGTATAACAATGTTTATTACTAAAGAAGCAAACTTAGCTTTATTAACTGAAATAAATATAATATGAAATAGATATTAATGTCAGTAGTAAAATGGCAAGAGGGCCCACAAAACAACAACACACACAACAAGCATTGTAAGCAAACAGTTCCCTGCTGATCGACATTTTCAAAATTTTCAGATTTCAATTTACTTGCGACAATGGCCGCAAGATTCCAGCCTCGAGCCATTGCGATGGCATCGACGATTGTGGCGACGTGAGTGACGAGACCGTGAAAAGCTGCGCTGGAAAAAATTGTCCCTCATATTTGTTCCAATGCGCTTACGGAGCATGCGTGGACGCGGGGTCGGATTGTAATGGGGTAAGTGTCGCACTCGTGATGGGGTAACAACGACATTCTTGAGTACGACCAATACTAGTTAATATTGTTGGTTATTAGCTATGGTTAATAATAGCTTTACTTAGCAAGATAGTGACAGAAATTAGGTAGATAAAACGTATTCCTCGTATTTGTTCAATTGTAAGTATGGGGCATTCGTGGGTGCAGAGTCGAGTTACAATGGAGGGTAACCTATCACAAAGTCAAAAATTAGTTTTTGATAAGTTTGTCCGAAATAACGTTTGTTCGAATGTTCATTACACCGAAAACCGAATTATAACGAAACAGGTGTTCTTTCATGATATGTTGAATGTTTATCGCAAAGACACGATTAGGTTCGGTTAGGTTAGGTTAAGTTAGGTTTAAAAGAAAAAACATTTTCTTCTCAAAATTACTTTCGAGGTTATGAAATTTCGACCAACCGGTATTTCTGGAAAATGTCATTTCGGACTTCTGATAGATAACCACAATGGAGATAAGTGTGGCATTCGTGATGGGGTAAGAATTACATTCTTCAATACGACTAGTTATTATTGATATATTAGCTGTATTTATTTAGTGACAGAACTTGGGCTGATAAAACGTATAACGTACGCGGGTGCTACTGACACTCACACAGAGCACCACAAATTACACCCAAAATCACGAGAGAAATAAATGTAGGTCATACAAATATTTATCCCGGCCCTAGAATCGAACTCGGGACCACTGCGTCTGACTGCGTGGTAGAGCATGGTAACCGTTCAGTCATGGAGGTAGTAAATGAATCTTAATTTCCCTACGTTGTTGTTATATCGAATGTTTTCACAGATACAAGAATGTGCTGACAATTCCGATGAGTCCGACGAACTCTGCAACAGAATAGGCACTGGCACAATTACCTCTACCACTACTAGGTAATGTACCACTTACTACTATAAATAGTGGTTCACATTGATACTTACGAACTTTTTTATTCAAAATATTCGCATAAAGGACGGCATTATCAATACTTAAAAACTTTAAGTATTGATAATGTCGTTATATTTTTATGGCTTCTATCTTTCGTCTCTTTTGTAAGAAAGTTTATAAAATTATTATCTTTTACTTAAATTAATGGTTATTCAATGATCATCAAATCAATGGTGATCCATACTTTCTCCGAAAAAAAAATCCCCACTACTGACGATTTCAACGATTAATAATTAGCATCCACGTCCGCAACTGCAGATGTCGTCATAATAAACCCACATCGGCGGCATCCTTAGAATAGACACATGTGCTGTACTCACTCGATTTTAGGATCTACCTACTGAAAACCTGATTCCCAATCTCTCCTGAGGCATTAGCTGAATAGATCCTTTTGCATACGCTACAGACGCACACCAATGCAGTAATTAAAATTGTGTTGACTGTTTAAAATTTTATTTATTTGGTTCGTTGTTTTTTCTTTCTTTTTTGTATTATTTTTGGTTTGTTTATTTATAAATAATTTTCTGTATATTTTTTGCGTTGTGGCGTTGCAATAAATATGTTCTATTTCTCTTATATAAAGTGTCATTGTGTTACCTTTAAGGATATCTCTATTTTCCATTAGATGACCGTACTTAGGTTAGTCCGGTCTGAATTAGTTCTTAAAATAATTTACTTCCACAGACCAGTGTCAGGGGGCAATTGTGTGCTGCCTCCTTATCCTGAGAATGGTCGTTACACTGTTGGGGGTGTACCCCAAGCCTCTCCAGGACAGTCCTTCAACAGTTTCCAACTGAATGTGTCGTGTAACCCAGGCTAGTATCTTTTTTATTAATTCCTAAGATATAACAAAAACATAAACCGATCTTTATCATGAGGCAAGACTTATTTTCCTGATATTAGGTGACGGAACGAACAAGTCGTGTGCTTGGTGGCAAGCGACACGCCTGTCCATAACAGTTGCAGTGCCATTCTGGCCTTTAAATTGCAACAATCTGAAGGTCACTATCACTGCGCCCGTCACTCTGAAAAATAAAATTAACAAGTCCCATGTGCCTGTAGTTTGACGTGGTTGAGGCTTTTGATCGGATGTGGCGCAAGGCACTCCTACCGAAGCTACCATCCTATAGGCTTCCAGAAAAGCTATGCACTCGGATCACCAATTTCTTGCCTGGGCGCAGCATAAAAGCCTTTGTTGACGGATTATGCTTGGACACCATGCTCTTCAACGCTGGTGTTTCTCAAGGATCAATGCAATCACCTACGTTGTTCATTCTTCATATCAATGATATACTAACTAAATTGTAGCCAAATTCGACGTAGCATAAATGTCAACAAACACAAATATGTGATTTTAATGAACCCGACTTGTGATAGTGGTAAAGTTCCAGAAAAAGCTTTATGCCCACTTAATAAAAGCGAAAAATACGTGCGTTTCGCGTCTGCGATCTGAGCGGCGGTACGTCACTGTTTCTACGTTAATCAAATTTTTTACTTTCAGGGTACAACGTTATTGGTAATAGCACTGCATTTTGCATCGGTGGGTCGTGGTTTACGGCTCTGCCCCAATGTGGCCGTGAGTATTCTTTCTTTGTATCACTATTAATAATAGAATACCGTAATAGTAAAAAAACTTCATGGCATTGAATAAAATAAATGTTGCAATAAAATGAACATTTTTATTGGGGATATTGAAATCGGTCGCATTAATTAGTTAAAACCAGAAGTATAATATCATTGGTTTAAACCATTGACTTACAAATAAATGGACGACGGGTCTAATACAAAAATCACGAAAAAAATGTCCCAAGTGAACCTATTTAAACGTAGTGACATGTAAAGGAATATGAAAAAGCTAAAACGTTGAATTTAAATTGTAATGTCATCGCAGTACTGTCTAATTGTGCTTGCTTCGCTGTCAGTCGAACAAACGAAGACTAAAGCGTGAATGACGCTCTGTATACGATTTTAACGCCCTATAAGTTCGGACACTTTTTAGCGCGGACCCGACGTCCATATAATTGTAAGTCAATGTTTTAAACATTATTTTTACAGGCTTCTGCAAGGTGAACCGGCATCCTAGCGTGCAGTACCGCTGCTTAATTTCCGAAGGTGAAAATGGCGCTGAAGGCACTAGAGAATGCAATGAATTGGTACGTTCATTTTTTATTTCTATCAATCAATTTGCGTTCAACTGGTACGCATAGTTTTTATTTTGTGACACCAAGTGACAGGACGAACAAGTCGTGTGCCTGGTGATAATAATAATAATAATAACGCACACACTTAACATAGCCCCGCACTAGGGAAACCCTGTGTCGCGGGTGCCATGGACACATACATAGACAAACACAAATTACACCCAAACTCACGAGAGAAATAAATGTAGGCCCTACAAATATTTCTTCCGGCCCGGGAATCGAACCTAGGACCTCTGCGTGGCAGTCCGGCATGATAACCGTTCGTCCACGGAGGCAGTTGCACGGAGGCAGGAGGCAGGTGGTAAACGACACGTCTGTCCATAACAGATTCACTGCCACACAGAGTTTTAAATCGCAAAGATCTGATGGGCACTGCCGCTGCGCCCGTCACCATGAGACTTAAGTTGATAAGTCCCATGTGCCTGTAATTTCACCAGCACCCTTACCCTTCAAAACCGGAACGCATTAATACTCACATTACTGCTTGGCGGCAGAAATAAGTAAGGTGGCAGTACTTCGGATGAACTCTTCTAGCAAAGTCTTCTAGCAGACGCTAACTCGACTGAGTCAATAAAACAGACAAACAAATTAGTTTAAACGATTTTAAAGAGATGTCGCTACGATGCTCCAAATGCAAAAGGCGGAAAAATACAAATTTGACAGTTGTAGTCTTGAGAACACGAAGTATAAATTTATAGAAATATGATAACTGTTATTCTTACCCAATCTTTTGGGGGAAAAGAATCGTAAGGTGGCAAATGTAAGGTGGCAGTACTTCTCTGGACGAACTCTTTCACAGGGAGCCCTACTGCTACTAAAAAAAGGTCTTAGAAGAGTTGTTAGATCACACTCCACCCGGATGCAGACTACTTTTGATATTGACGCGTGATATGAGATGAAGAACAATAAATAATTTGTATTGTATTGTATGTTTCCTTAGAGAGAGTTTAGTTGTTGAAAAGGGGCAGGGCAATGGTCTTTAAATTTCCCGTTCGCAAAGATTTTGTTTTCCCATAAAACCATAGAACATATAGCACAGATAAAAATATAATTGTTAAAACTAATTTCGAAGAAAAATTCCTTCGATAGGACTCGGACCTCCTAATATGCCAATGTTACTGCCAAAAAAAATCATGAGACGACATCTCTTGTCAACTAAGGTAAAGGTTGGTTGAGTGAAGAAAAAATTTCATAGATTTGTCACAGATGGCGCTACGGCAAAAAGTCGTTAAAACCTTGTCTTGTATAGAAAAGATAATAAATAAGACTGGCCTCAAACATTGATGGAATTATATGTACTCTAGCCAAATACGACGTAGAATAAATGTCAACAAACAAAAACATATGATTTTTTGGGTTTTCATCTCAGACTCTTTCATAGTTACCACAATTTCAATATTTCCCCCGAAATTCAATAAGATTATTTTATTCAATTAGATAATACTAAATCTTGAACTCTTGTTTATAATGAATATTATTCAACAGAAGTTTCAATTCGCCTAAAAATGACCAGTAATTAATTATTCGTAAAACCGTATCATCCCTAGTGACTTTTTGATTTGAAGGGAGAGATTGCAAACATTCGAGTTCTAGTGGTAATTCAAGTTCTGAATCGGAAATAGATGCTGGATGATATAATTAATATGTGGTAAATTAATATGAAATAAAATTTTACAATTTTGTTTCTTTTCATCTACCATCACCTACCACCTAGCAGTAAATATTAATAGAATGCAACTTTTTATTTCTAAACCTTAAGTATCAATAGGTATTTTGTAAACTTATAATAATTGGCTAGGTTAGTATTACTTCTACATAACCCAATTACCTTTTTAAATTCCAATTAAGGGAGCAGACCGTGGGCAGAGCGAGCCTTAATATTGGTTGCCTAGTGACCTTTTGTTATTAAATATTCTACATAGAATTTGGATAGAGTATAGTGAAATCTAATAAACCGGTTTTATCCGCTAATTTGCCTTCCTTAAAGGTGGAATATTTCCTTCAAAAGACTTATACCTAATTAGTATGGAGCTTGGTACTTTATTCGCAGAAAAATTAAACCAGCCTCAATTTTTTTGCTAAATACAAGCTTGGAATAAAGAGCTTAGCAAAATAATTAAAAAAAATATTGTGAATTTTTTATTTATTTATTTAAAATAAAAGTGTGGTAGATATGTTAAATTAATTCCATCAACACTGCGATACTAAAAAAAGTCCAAAAAGTAGCAACACTTAAATGCTAAAATATTCAAAATCATAATTATAATTGGCTAATTAAATTGCAACAAGAATGACTTTGACATCTGATGTGTCAATATTTTTTATGGCATTGGTCGCTGGCCCATTAGCCAAAAAATTACATAAAAATCCGTTTCGTGAGAATGCGTTCCGTTTTATAGAAATAGAAACCATTTATTGTAACGCCACATTATAAAAAAAACACAAAAACAAAGACTAATACTTATAACTAAGACAGAAATAACACAAAGAACAGCGTAAAAACATTTCAACAACAAGTTGCATAATACTATACTGACATGTGTGCGGCTGTGGCGTGTACAAAAGGATCCCATTCAGCTAAAGTCACAACCAAGGCTAGGTTGTGACGCTGGTTTTCAATGGGCCCTAGCCGAGTGAGTGAGAGTACCTTTATTTACATATTTTCTACTTTTGTGTGAGTGACGGACGTATGCGTCCCGGAACAGATAATAAAATAAAATAAACTACGTAAATACTTATATCATGAGTGTGTATAGTATTATTGCAGTGTGTATTACTCTTATATCGAATTAGTACATTATGATACAAGTGTGCTAAGTTGATCATTACACACGAGGCGTTATTACTCGCGCGAGCCGCAGGCGAGCGCGATAAGAAAGCCGAGAGTGTAATGATCAAAGCACACGTGTTTCATACGACGTTTTTCAACACATTTGCGAGGAAAATGAAACAAACTTGAGTAAAATGGAAATGAAAAATAGCTTTATTTGGCATTAATTATACAGATACACTGAATACTATATTAAGCTCACGTTAATGTAAATAATATTATTCTATTCTATACTATATCTATCAATAGCAATTAATTAAGAGTCTCCAAAGCCTATCAAAGTCATTGTATCTTGATTTTATCAAAAATGTAGTTATTTAAATTTAATTATTAAAACAATTGTTAAATGTACAATTTTCAAAATGGTAACGTGCAGTTTTGTTAGGCATTTGAACCGTCTGTGTGATATTATTTGTTACTATTTCATTATTGTCTTCTTGCGTAAAAGTCGGTGATACGGGTTCATTGTGTACAAATATGGATGAAAGTGGTGGTGGTTCATTTAAAGACTCAGAAATAGACAACCTAGGTAACAAATAACTTGTATCACGGGAGGTGGATGGCTGCGGTTCAGGACACATCTTCTTAACCTGGGGCTCCAGATTTATAGCGTGGGTTATTTGAGTACATATGTTGGACTTATTTCGAACTGAATCTTCAACATAAGACTCAGCAACTGTGCTAGATCGCCAGCCACCATGACGCTTTAAAGTAAGCAAATCAGCTCCCGAGTCAGCTAGCAATGTAGCTGATGTTCTTCGGAAACTATGCCCAGTGTATAAATCCGGGTCGGGTAGATTTAAAAACTTGGCAATTTCTTTAGGCATTGCACCAAATTTATTAATGCCTATTGGCTGAGCCACGCATCTACCCTTCTGGTAGTTTTGAAAAAACCGATCGGATTTTGCCTTATCTGTCCTAAGCGCTTCGTACTTTTTTACTATGTCGTAAAATGGACCGTGAATGGCAAACGATCTCGGTACCTTATTTTTAGTGTTGTTAATTTTAATCAAAAGCATTTGGCCATGAGTTTCTACGTCTTTTGCCGTTACTTCGCTTAGTTCTTGGCGTCTACACGCGCCAGTGACACCAAATATCATTGCAACCTGTAAAGAAATTAAAAATATAGGTATTTTCGCAAATATAATACAAGAAAAATGAAAACATAAAAAAATTAAGGTTTAATACGATCAACTGACCTTTGTTGCTAAATACTGATAATCGGGGGCTTCTTTTAAAAACTTTTCGACGTCAGTTGGCGAAAGTACCTTCGATTTTCTTGCAACATACCCATCAGAGCGTCTCTTTAAAAATGCCGTCAGATTTGAATAGTTTTTTATGTCTATGTTATTCTTGTTCTTTACTGTGGTCTTTAACATAGAATAAATGCACCAGAGCGAGCTGGGCTTAAACCTATTCGCCAGTTCATTAAAATAGGCAAGAAAAACATTTTCTGAAAACGAAGACGCTTTTTTTGTTGGTTTTCCATTGTATAAAAGTTTCATATGCAGCCATGTATTTTTCTCTGGATTTCGAAGGTAATAAACTGTCACTTGCGTTTTGTGCCTCTGTGAGGATTTCGGGCGGTGTTAAATCCATCAAAATGTTTTCTTCCGTGCTTGAGCAGGACATTTTAAACACCTAGGTAATTATCTAACACACAGCGTATATAAATGTTTCGAACGTATCAATGGAAATTGGCGCGCAGAGTTATTTTTTCTGCGCCTGGCGCCGCGGCGCGGATATGCGCGCGCAGGTGCTTCGGCAATAATGAGACTTAGGTGAAATTCCTAAACAGCCAATGCGAAATAATATAAATATGTCCTTATTTCACTCAAATTCGTGTAAAATATTATCCAAAATAAGTAATTTTATTCAATTAAAGTTTTATAGGTGTATATTGTGTATGTTTTTCTATATTTATCACATCAAATAAGAAATATAAATTTATTAATAAAAATATTATTTGTAAGGTAAGACTACACAACCGTATTAAACAGAAATAAAAAAAAAACTGTGACCCCGTTTGTTTGGGATTACTGTCATTGTAATTTGAATCTTATAATATGTAGGTTAGAGCTGTTTTTTTAATAGACCAAGTTAATTTCAAAGACATAACCCG